TTTTTGGGCTGAGGATTTTGGAACTCGCGGGGAGCTCCTTTTTTTTGGCCCCTCGAACAAGTCCCCGGCGTTAAGCGTTCCAAAAGGAAGGGGCCGGCAACGCCCCCTGGCACCGGCCGTTCCGGGGTCCCCGACGCCCCCCCCAGTCGAGGGAGGCCCCCGCAGGGAGGGGCGGCGGCCGTAGGCCGGGATTCAGCTTGGCAACCTTGGAGGGCGCCTTCGGGGAAGGGCGCGAGCCCGCAGGGCAACGGCGTGGTAGTCGACGGTCTGGACGAGCCAAGATGCCCTAGTCGACGGTGTCGGGGTGGCGGCCGATGAGCTCCTGGAGGGCGGCGGAGGCGCCGCGTCGGATGTTGCCGGCGGGGTCGAGGGACGCCGTCACGGTCAGCTCGGTGGCGAGACGCTGGAGAATTGAAGGGGGGGCAGAAGAAGAAGAAGAAGAAGAAGTCGTTTCGCCGGTGGGGACAGCCAGCAGCTCGGCGGTGGTGTAGCGGCGCGCGAGGGCCCAGATGCCGAAGCAGGCGGCGTCGCGGACGTTGGCGCCGACGGAGCTGCCGGAGGTGCTGCGCTTCTCAAAGGCGAGGGCCAGCAAGAGCGCGGCGATGATGGCGGGCAGCTGGCGGGCGGGCGGGGACCGGCGGTAGAGGAGGTGGGACAGGGTCAGGGTGAGACCGTGCCACTCGAGGGGGTCTACGGCGGACAGGTCGCGGACGGGCTCGGCGGTGCCGACGGCGGAGACGGCCCAGAGGACGTTGCGGTTGAGGGCGTCGAGGACGGCATCGACGACCTCGTCGGCCATGTCGGGGTCGAGCTTGAGGGTGATGACGCTGAGGGCCTTGGAGGCGGCGAGGCGGACGGGCGTGTCGTTGTCGGCGAGACGTTCCAAGAGGTAGCCGATGGCGAGCTCGACGAGGTCGATGGCCGGGTGGGGCTCTCGGTCTCTGTGCTGGTGGCCGCCGCTGCCGAGGAGGAGGACGGCGATGGAGCGGATGACTTTGATGACCATCTTGCGGGCGACGGCGTAGGCGCGGATGGAGGCGGCGATGGGCGAATCGGCCTCGGAGACGGCGTGGACGACGGTAAAGATGGCGGACAGCGAGGCGTCCATGTCGGACGTGTTGACGGAGGCGCGGAGCACGCCGGCGAGGAAGGAGAGGACGCCAATGTGGAAGTAGGGCTGGTGCTCGGGCGCATGAGGGCTGCCGTCGTCGTTGTCGTTGTCGTCGATGTCGTCGGCCGTCTTGGTCGTGGCGACGTCCCGTGGGCGCAGGGAGGCGAGGGCCCAGCTGACGAGGGCATCCAGCACGCCGAGGGACTGCATGTCGCGGCGCATGGACAGGCGGACGAGGAGGTGGCGCGCGCCGTCGCGCTCCTTGCCGGGCGAGGCGAGATACTTGACAGCCAGGGGCAGCACGCGCGTGGTGATGGCGGGCAGGCCCCTGGGCCAGGCAAAGCCGGGCAGCGGCACGAGGGCGGCGGCGGCGGCGGCGGCGGGGTCGTCGGCGGGGTCGGCCGAGGAGATGGTCGACAGGTCAAAGGGGGCGAGCAGCAGCTGGGCGAGCCAGAGGAGCACGAGGTAGCGCTCCTCCCAGATCCAGTCGCGCTGGGAGGGCTCGGCGGCGGCGGCGTGGGCGCGGACCGAGTCGGTCAGGGCGAGGAGCGAGGGCCTGGCGGCCCTGCGCTCGGCCGACTCGAGGGCCGCCAGCAGGGGCTCGAGGTGGCGGGCCTCGACGGGCAGGAAGCGCAGGATGACGGCGGCGCCGCGGATCTTGGTCAGGGTGTAGACGAGGCGGGCAATGGCGGCGGGCAGGGGCTCGAGCAGCTGGGCTCGGGCGGTGGGCGCGGCTGACGATGGTCTCGTCAGGCGGCCGGCCTGCGTGTAGAGGTTCTCCAGGTACGAGGCGGCGAGGAGGGGCAGCCATTTCGGCAGATGGGGATCGAGGAGCTGCGGCAGTTCTTGGAAGGGGTCGAGGAGCTATCGCCGGGCGGTTTGGTCAGTTCTCGGGTCCAGTCTCCTGCCACCTGGAAGGGAAACCAATCTTAATCGGAACAGGAGGCAGGTCGGGCTCACGCACGGTGGATGTGAGCCTCGCCGTCTCGCTGATGCGGACGCGGGTGCGCAGCTCGCCGTTGGGTTTGCGGAGAAAGGGCGTCAGCGAGCGATCAAAGTCGGCTATGAGATCGCTGGACGCCTTTTGGAGCTTGACGTCGCGATCATCCTCCGGTGCGTCCTCCATCGTCGGGTCCTGGTTCTGGGGCAGCTCCAGGCGAGGAATTCGAATGAACAAGCGGGGGATCTCACTGTCGCTTATTTGTCAGCTCGGGGCTCGGACACAGGGGTCTTTTTGGACGAACGTGAATGCTCATGTCTGTAGAGCGGCGAGGGCTCGGCCGTAAGGGATGCTGCTCACGGATGGTGTGGTGTTTGTTGGTGAGGAGGCAGATGTGTGTGTCGTGGGAGTTGGTTGTTGAGAGTGAGAGGAGAGCGATTCTGGGGCTCTGGTGACAGTGTATGAACTGGTAGAGCACGGTGACGGCACACAGTACCACCGCAGCACATTCATCACCTTGGTGGGTGCATGGAAGCATGAAAGCAACATGTTCGAGGGCCTGAGGACGAGGGTCATGAGGAGGAATGGTAAAACCAGTATGACGAGACGATGGTCGCATAACCCTGTCGATGATGAGAGTGAACAAGACAATGCATCGACTCAACATGAACCAGAGTTGGCAGAAGAAAGGAGCACTTTTCAAGGATCAGACACGAACACTTGAATTGTCACGGATTCATCATCGGCCAGAATGACATGTGAACGCCGACTGCTCATTTCCCTGCTATATACCTCTCGCCAGCTATGTCAAAAGAGAACCCCCGAAAACACCAGATTTTATTGTATTTCGATTCCAGAAACGACCGAGCCTAGTCGCTGCCCGGCGTGGGCGCATCCTCAATCGCCTCATCCATCGCCGCCTCGTCGGCCGCGCCGTCTCCGTTCTCCTGCGTCTCGCTCTGGAGCTGCTGCTGCTGCTGCACCTGCGCCTGCTTCTCTTTGGTCAGGGCCAGGTTGACGAGCGGCGTCGTGTCGTTGAAGAGGCGCAGCAGCATGGCCGAGCGGTCCTCCTTGGGCAGCATGAGGTTGAGCGAGTGCAGGCTCTTCCACAGCGGCAGCGCCATGCGCTCGGTGAAGCCGTCGGCCGTGCCGTCGGGCTCGAGCCGCAGCACGAGGCAGCCCATGCCAACGTCGCGCACGCGCTCGCCCACCTCGCCGAGCGCCCGCCACGCGCCGTCGGCAATCTTGGGGAACATTTCAATGAGCAGCCGCCGCAGCGTCTCCTTGTTCGTGAGCCGCACGATGCGCTCCTCGCCGACGTAGCCCTGCACGATCGGCATGCCCTCCGACTGGATCCGCCACCGGCACACCTCGGCCGACGGCGCGTCCTGCCGCATGAACATCTTGACGCCGCCGTGCACAAACTTGACGCCGCGGCCCTCGTTCTCCGTCAGCACGTCCTTGGCCAGCGACGACGTGTAGTAGATGGCCTTGGCCGGCTCGCCCGTCGCGTTGCGCACCATGAACCGGTCCTGCGGGAACCGCGCCGACACCGAGTAGAACGTCTTGATGTTCTGCAGCACCTCGTGGTCCGGCGCCAGGTACTTGAACGGCTCCTCGATCTGTCCGTGCTGGTTGCGGATCGGCTTTGTGTTGGTCGGCTTCGGCGCCGCCTCGGCAGGCTTGGCCTCCTCCTTGGCCTCCTCCTTGGCCTCCTCCTTGGCCTCTTCGCTGTTGCTCTCATCGACCTTGGGCTTCTTTGAAGCCTGCGACTCTGTCTCGACGGCTTCATCCTCGCGCGCCCGCTTCGTG